GCGGGAGCGGCTTTCGAAGCGCGGCCACAGCGCCGGGGGGACGGGGGGCACAACCCTGTGCCAACACGCACCGGTCCAGGGAAAAAATACGCTAGTCAGAATGATAACCGTATGAGAAAATAAAGCCTTTTACTCAAACGTGGACCAAAAGCTCTAGAGTGAAATCTCTGTGCGATGGAGTCACTGTGTGCAGATACATTTCGCTGAGATACTTCAATGAGATTCTTCTGAAAACATGGCCGTAATTTAAAACAAAATAGTCAAAAAGTACTATTTTCAAGGCTAAGGCAGGAAATCATTATTTGTGTACTTACAGACTATTCAAATTAAATCTGAGAGCTGAACAGTTAATCAAATTCTTGATTTTTACCTTAATTCATTAATTCTGAAACAACTGCTGTGCTCCTGAAACAAGGGTCTGTCTCTCGCTTCAGGATCTGATTCCTGATTTTCAAACCAGCAGAGTCTGGTGCTGCTACAGAGAGTCCTCGCTGTGGCTCAGAGAAAAGCCCACGTCCTGTGCCCCTGCCCTCTGCAGAGTAGCTGAGGCAGTACAGGTCAAGTGCTCCATAACCCTTGCACAGAGGATTTAAAGGTGGGATGTGAGATCATGTTCACTTAAATGTCTTCATTACTTTTTTAAGAGCCTTGATGCAGCCGGTGCAGCCAGGATTTAACATCTGCATGACCAGCCAGAGACAACGGCAGCTCCCTTCGGGAATGGAGTCCACCAGTGCTGCCCCTGTTCAAAGCAGGGAGTATTGCATCACCTTTCCCAAGTATTTTGGTTGTCCATGCTAATTAATATGCTGTAATCATATTAAAATCCATTTTCATAAAGGCAGTGGTGCCATATTGGCAGGGCTTGAAGAATCAATTCCCTCTCCCCAGTAAAAACTGATGGTGTTCAAACTAGCACAGAAACGTTTGTGATCTCACTGTGATTAAGATCCAAACCTCCAAGGCTGGGGTTAAAGATCACCTGTGTGGATGCTTTGAGGGCCAAGACTCACATCAGTGAGTCTGATGTGCAGGTGCTCAGTGAACAGTGGGTGACAAGAGTCTTATAAAAACCTGTGATTCCTGACAAGCTCCGTGAAGCATTTCGGCAAGGATTCCATGTGATTAGCCAATACAGACAGCTCTAAGCTCTATGTCTTTTTGAAACATTATCATCAGAATTGCCCTTTGAAAAGAACAAAAACCTTAGAATTTTAATCACAACAGCTTTAGAAATGCATCTGCACTTTTCAAATAATAATGAAAGCAATTCAGCATCTGCTTTTATTTCTTTACACGGGATGTTCCAATCATTTCACTGTAACACAATTTCCTTTGATGAAATGACTTCAGTCATAAAAGCATCACGTAAGGCTCCCCAGCCAAATACAAGCCATTGGCCAAATCCATCAAAATGCAGCCCGAGAGAGTGAAACTTTAAAATCTGGGCCAAATACATGGTGATGACCTAAATGTAAAATATGTGTCAGGACCATGCCAAGGAGCAGCTCAGTTCTGACGGAAAGAAAAACAGCATCCATCAAAGCAGGGAGGATAGAGCACGTCTCACTTCTAACAGATGTCTTTATAACCTTCAGCACAGCCAGGGGAAAATTTAGCCTGAGCTTAAAGTGTATGTTCCAAAAGTCCCAGCAGAGCTATGCTTAAACCTGATCTATGAGTGATGTGACATCATTCACAGGTTTGAGGTCATTCCTTATGGTAAAGTGCTAAATTAGCATTTCAGGAAAACATGGGACAACCGACTTCATTGAATTTGGTGGGTGCTAAAAAAAGGTGTCTGAAAAGAAGCAGCAATGAGTGCTAGAAAGAAGGCAGTGTTCAGCTGGGCTGTAGTGGCAGTGGAGTGTGTACGTATCACCTCCACACATCTCCAGTGTGAACACACAAGCTGGAAATTCAAATCAAGTCACCCACATGTAATGAGAAACATCAGAGTTGTTTATCAGCAACAAACACTATGCAGTGCTTTGAGGTGCTCAGTGAAGAAGCAACTGAAAGTAGCAGAAACTGAATGAGTAATTCTGGGGAAAAAAAAATTCTAAGTTGGATTTTGGACAGCAGATTTCAGCTAAAAAGCCATGTGAGAATTTTCATCACTCTGGGTGGTTTTTACACACAATAGTTAAAATAAAAAAGGAAGAAAGAAGAACAGTACTTCCAGTTCTAGGCCTGTGCTTTGATTCAGGGACAACTTCAAGGTGCCACCTAAGGATCCTTCAGCCCTATTCCTTGTAATGTTCTGTGCTCCTCAGTAGGATTGTGTCTAAGTACTGAGCCAAGGCGACATTTCCAAGGGCAGAACTGCAGGCAGCCAGAGGGAAGATGGCAGTTTCTGAGAAGGATGGCATGGCAAAGGACAAGGAAATGTCTGGATTGGGCTTATTGTGAGGGTCAGTGGTTTTCCCGAGAGGCAGAAACCACTTCCTGTGCTAGTGCTCCCAGACAAGACTGCCAATCCGACCTCAATCCATGGCAAAGGACAGAGCCTGGTAGGAATCAATTCCAGGCTCCTGCAAAGTTGCAGACACCTCTCTAAAAGGTGTGTATGCTTTCCATCACTCAGGCAGCTCCACAGATTGAGCTCCCAAGAAAAGAGCCAGGTAAGAACAAGTACGGTACAAGCTAAAATAAGAGATTATCCCCTGCTCCAGCAGTGTGAATTACACGCAGTGAAAGTCTCATCTGCTGAAATCCAGCAGTATGTGGGAATGGGAAGCCCTCACAAATCTTTCACTTTGAAGAAAAAGCATAAAGTAACACTAAATGGCAGAGTCTCCCTGAGAAAGGATCTTCCAGCAAAGAGCATGAGTGCCTTGAAGCCGGGTTTATTCACAAATGCAGAGTAAGGCATTACAGAGTTTTGCCCTTGATCTTTTATTCATAACTCATGTGTATAATGTATTTTCATCAAAAACAGGCAAAGGGGAAGAGCAGCTTTCCCAGATGCTCTGGACGTGAGCACAGGCACGGTGCAAGCCAGATGATTCAAACACAGACATGAGACAACATTTCTTCCCACCATGTAACACACAGGGGGGTCACAGCTTCTGCAGATGAAACCATTTGATTCTTCTGGCAAACACCAAACCCACAGCACAAGCACAACATAAGGTTCGAGGTTTACAAAAACTGACATTAAGGGGCTATCATGTTCCACTGATTTTGATATCAATCATTGTACATCAGACAACATTTTGGAAAAGAATTGATACACCCAGTGTTGATAACTTCTTTGTAATTCCACGGCCACTGTTCAACAAAGCAACTTGCTACACAAACAACTCTAACACTGCAAGAGATCCAGCATGTACAGGCAGTCCTTATGGACTCACATCAACAACCAAGGACTAAAATCAAATAAAAATCGCTCTTTTCAGTCCCCCCTCTGCAAGGAACTTTCTTTCTCCCTTACAAGTTCTGCCATAGCAAGGCCTACTTCAGCAGACTTCTTCCTCCTCTCCCTTTTTCCATCCCCCCATACTTCCGAAGTTCTTTGAATTATCCTTTTATTCTCAGTCTGGTTCAAATTATCCCGTCATTAATACCGGTGTATTTAAAGTGTATTTTTTAATGTTACAACTAAAACAAAGTTTGGTCTTCACTGGGTAGCATGATGATGATAATAATAATGATAACAATTATGATGTTGATAATAATGATGATGACAATGATAATGATGATCATAATAATACTAGCAATGATGTGTAACCCATGCACTAAGTTTATGAATATCTTCACTTTTCTCATCCTGGAGTCATTTCAAGGCCTCTTGCAAAACCAGACTCTCTGTTCAGACAGTGTTCCAAGCCAGGTTGGACAGAGCTTGGAGCAATCTGGT